CACAGCCCCCGTGCAAAATGGGACTTTGATTTTTGTAACTTAGCCTGGGTTGTCTGGTACACTGCGGTACAACATGTCTGCATTAGGAACTTGCATCACTGTGTCTTCATTGGTGGAAAAACCTAATATAGACAGAGCACAAGTATTTTGGAAAGGATATAAACCCTCCTGCTTCAGGATGTAGGCATGAAGGGATGTAACCCCTTCTGTAATTCAGCCTCTGCTGCAAACGTACCAAGGCAGAAACACAGATGCTTTCCTCCTGCTGCAACAGGTGATCTTACAAAACACAGCAATTTAAGGGTAACAGGTCAGCTTTAAGTCTGAATTTCCTGGCTCTTGTCAATTTAAGCTAAACCATTAACTTTATTTTAAGAGAGAGAGTGTGAGTGAGTGTGAGTGTGTGGACAGTTATTATGGAGCCATTAAAATAACACTTGAAAATTAATAAGCAGTTACAAGCACCAGATGTCCTATCCCCTGCCTTTAAGGTACAGTGTTTGGAATAGTTTTTATAGCTGTTTCTGCTCCAAGAGCCAGATAGAAATGACAAGCTCTCTAACCAGTTATATCAATTAGGAAACTGCCCTTCAGTTTAATAACTTAAATGCAAAACAACAGCCCCAAAATACAGGGATATTCCTTTCTCATTCTTGTGCTAGATGATTTTTTGCTAGTTGGCAGTTTTCCCCGCAGCTTTCTGTCTCAGGAGGGCTAATACACAAAGCATTGCACAAGGTCCTTTTTTTAATGGAAAAAAAGATGATCAGTGCAACTGGGGAAAAAAAGTGTTTAGTGGGACACCCAAGAGATATATATTATAGTATCTGAGAACCTGCTTGTAACAGGGTCTCCCCAAATCCTGCCTCAGTTCACCCACCATCCTACAAGCCAACTCGCCAGCCAGTGTCAATGAAGTTCTCACTAGCACCAGTATTTCTCTCTCTCTTCTGAGAGATGCTTTGAAACACAGACACAAGTCAGACAAACCAGGCCCTGCAGCCTGGCCCCTCCACAGGCCTCTGCCTCCAAGGGCTGCTGTTCCCATTGCATTGCACCTGCCCAAATCATTATGAACGGAGGGAATGCAGCACCTCACAAGACCTAGCTCTAACATAATCAAATATTTACTCAGGGCTTGACTGACACATTATAATCTGTCCTGAGCCAGGCACTTAGCTGCACCACATCACAATTCCCTCCCTGGTTCCCCGCTTATTCCAAGTGTAGGGTTACATGATGCAGCAATGCACACCACGGGGGTGTGATTTCTAAAGCACACTAATGTGTCGTGCACTATTTGGTCCATGTCAACTCCACTGCTGTGCACTAAAAGTTCCTTAGCATGCTTTAAATGTGTAGACAAGCCCAGAGACCATGCTGCCAGCTTGGCTGCGCTAGCCAAAGGCACAGCCTTGGACCTGCCTGCTCATATCCTGTCTCCCAGCCCAGGGGGAGTAACAGCAGCTCCATGGAGGCTGCTCTTTCCCCTCGCTGTGATCGGCCGTACAACTAATCCTCTTACTTCTCTGCACATTGTGATAAGGGTGTGGTCACAATCCTGACCTAGATGAGAACACTAGAGATGGGTCCAAGCTGCAAAGATTGGCTCCAGATTGGAGTTTCACCAGAACCTGGAGGCAATGGGATCTGGGCCCCTCATTAAAGAATTCATATAACATGATTAATTTGTAAAAAGTGCATTTAGGATAAATATAATTTAGTGAGTCATGGTCTCCCTAACGGTGAATGCAATTTACCAAACTGTCAGCCTCCTTTTGGTCATGTATTTAAAGGAGAGCTGCGTTTCTTGAATCCTGCTCTAAGGAGCAGCACCAGCATATTTTGCAGTTACAGAGCATTGTGGATCCTACAGATGAGTAAATGTGCTCCATATGAAATGGCTGTAGGAGAGGAAGGATTGTCGAGTGGTTAGGGCACCAGCCTTAGGACTCAGAAAACCTGAGTTCAAGTCCCTGCCCTGCCACAAACTTCCTCTGTGACACTAGGCAAGTCACCTAAGGGCCTAAAGATGCAGCCAGCTGGTGAGATTTTCAAAGCACCTGACTAATGATTTGGGAATGAATCAATGACTTTATAACAGAAGCTTTCACCTTTAGAAACGGTAGAATTGGGCCCATAAGAGCTTTCTTGACCATGTCAGCACTGCACTGATAGCCACACTGGCTGGTATTTTTGGAAGGGCGCAGGACCCACGACTGGTTTGCTGCTGGGAGCTGCTAGATGCAGAAAAACTGGCCACTAGTTGTGGGTGCTGAGCATTAGAAAATTCACCCTTGAGCTCTTTCAAATATCTTTCCCTGAATTCTGCAGCACAGTGCAGAAATGGGGAAGGATTGTCTGAGGACTGTCTGTAGTTCCAGGAGCCAGGAATGTCATCTGGAGGGGCCAGAGCCGCAGCTGAGGTGAACTGTCATAGCTCCATTGACTTCAGTGTAACTACAAAAGTTTACACAGATTGAGGAATTAATCTCTAGGACACTACACTTTTTTGGGGGGAGGGGTAATAGGGGGACATCAAATTAATTAATTCCAATTACAGATCATTCTGAGATGCCAATTCTGCAGTCTTTACTCAGGCAAAATTGCCATTTAAGTCAGATTGGGGTCTCCTTCACGTATAATTCAGCTAAAATAATTTTATTTAAAAAGAGAGAGAGAGAGAGATGGATTTGTGACACTCTAAGCCAATGGGCTCTCAACCTTTCCAGACTACGGTACCCCTTTCAGGAGTCTGATTTGTCTTGAGTACCCCCACGTTTCACCTCGCTTAAAAACTACTTGCTTACAAAATCAGACATAAAAAGTATCACAGCATGCTATTACTGAAAAATTGCTTCCTTTCTCGTTTTTAACATATAATTATATAATAAATCAACTGGAATCTAAATATTGTACTTACCTTTCAGTGTATAGTATACAGAGCAGGATAAACAAGTCATTGTATGAATGTTTAGTTTGTACTGACTTCCCGCTAGTGCTTTTTATGTAGCCCGTTGTAAAACTAGGCAAGTATTTAGATGAGTTGATGAACCCCCTAGAAGATCTCTGTGTGCCCCAGGGGTATATGTACCCCTGGTTGAGAACCATTGGCTAAGCATCTGCCCAAGTGAATTTGCCTCCTGGTGTCTGAAAGCTCAGCATTTGTTTGAACGCTCAGCATTTGTTTCTCCAAATCCCATTAACTACACTAATGCTTGATGAGTGACAAGTTTAAATGACTATGACAAACTTCTGACATTTGACTGTGTGGAAAGGGAAAGGCAGGACATGCTGCAATTAATGCCTTTGTGTACCTGTTAAATATTTGCTCTTACAACTTAAAACTGGCTGTACCTGAGTATATGATAGGGACACAACCAAGTTGTTCAGGTTTGAAACGTAGGTATTTGTTAATCAAAAAGAACGGTAGGGAGGGATTTTACAAACCTCATGTGAGCAGAAACCTTTCAAGAGTATTTTTTTTCCTTTTAATTTCAACAAAAGGAACAAAGAGAGCAGGCCTCCGCGAGCGACTGAGAATCAAATGAGGCTGGCCAGCTTGGTGTCACCATCCAGATTTTTTAAAAAGTGAACAGCTCTCAAGGAGAGTTTGGGGTGAGGAAGAACTGGAGGATCAGGCCTCCTGAGAGGGAAAGACACGAAAGCATACGAGGAGGATGTTAAAACCCTTCCCTCACAGCACGTGGGAGACAAAATAAAGGTCCTGGAATTGGATTCACAGAGGCAAACCTCTGAACCTGTATGGAGCCCCATGGAAGTCTGTATTGATCCGATTCTAGGATCGGGGCCTTATAAAGTAAACTAGTCAGCAGGGGCTGTGGAGCACCATTTAAAGTGAAGGGGCCACATTTTTGCCCCCTCCCCCCACCTTCCTATTCCCTTCTCAGGTGCTCCCCCCGGACCCAGAAGCAGATTGACCCCACTGACCCATGAGCCCCTTCACCCAACCCCCCAAATCTGAGTGAGTGGCATCATGACCTGGTGCATAGGGTTGCAGTGCTGCTCAGGTTTGGTCCAGCCAAAAAGTGGTTTGGCCATGGCCTGAGAGACCACCCTCTGGCTCCACAGCCTGTGCTCTTTGAGACCGGGATTATATCTACCTCTGTGTTTGTACAATCCAAGTAGAGAGGCCTTGATCCTGCTTAGTGCCTGTAAGTTCCTACCGTCACAACAACAGAATAAAAACAATAATTAATAATGATGATGGGAGGCAGATTGGTGTAGTGGACAGGCAGTGGGAGTCAGGAGACCTAGGTTCTAATCCTGGCTCTGCCAGTAACCACCTGTGCGACCCTGGGTAAATCACTTCATCTGTGCCTTTTTTCCCCTCCCACCCTTCGTCTGTCCTGTCACATTAGATTGTAAACTCTTTGGGGCAGGGATTATGTTTGTCCAGCCCCTGGGAAAATAGGGCCCTGACCTTGACTGGTCCAATTTTAATACAAATAACAATAATGTGATTTGGGTATTTTCAAACTTACAGGTCAACTGAATTCCGTCCCCTTTGGTCAGTTTCCACTTTGTTCGTGGCCCTGGGGACGAAAACAGAAAAGTAGATCCACGCTTTTAATATTTGAAAACTTTATTTTCTCAAATGAGCACCAACACATATTGTAAATCTGACAAACAGTATGCTTCCCTCTAATACTGAAGAACTATGTACAATGTACAAAGACACAAAGAGGTGAAGACAAATTATCTAAAAACAAACAATTGCATTTATTACCGAAGCAATATGACCTGAAAGAATATGCCAAAAATATAGTTAAATCAAAACAAAGAAATAAAAGTATACACAGTTTGTAAACACAAGAGCATCAATAAACAGGCTGGTATTGGAAATATTGTCTCTTCATTTTGTCAGTGGGAAAGCATTCCCATTTCTTTATGAAAAACAGAACAGTTTGTAACTACGAGAATAGCTTATTTGTGATTGTACCTTACACAACATCATTCTGCTTGCATTTAAATGTCAATTTTTTTGTTTTTATATTAAGTGTGATTTTATTTTCCCTTCCTGTTTGTTCTTTCAAAACAGGATTCTTCCAAATCAATGCATAACATTTTTGTTTCTGAACGTTCCATTTCTCAGGCCTCTCATCTGGCAAGGAAAGCTCTTACTACTTAGCTGAGCTCTGCATTTCAAATCTGTTTACCCAACAGGATGCTTGTCCAAGAACTGGTTCATATAGAAACGAAATGCATGATTAATACACTCACATATCAATTAGGAAAACGCATACAGAGAAAATTCTTAGCTGATCCTCACAAGAACCACAGATTCCATGTGCAGGTTTTGTTGCCTTTAAAATGTGTGCACCAAAAAGAGAAAATAAAAGTGTGTGCAACAGTTACTCAGCACTGCAAATAGCTCCTTACTCAACAAAACACAGTCTAATGATTTGTGCTGTTGGTCCACTTTGAGATAAACAAGAAGACCAATGAAATAAAAATTAAGGGGGAGAGGGGAGGGAAAAAAAGACAAAGAGGAGAGGGGAAAGAACTTTACTGCCAGAGATGTAAACTTGTACTTTAATTCACTATGTAGCAGCCTGGTTTATTTATACTAAAAACAAAATTAAAACCAGGATCCACATCCAAAAATATTTGCAAAGCAAATTAGAATTCCTGATTAGTTAGAATTCTCCGTCCCCTGCCCCCATTGCCCCAAGCAATGGGAAATAAAGATTCTGAGGTTGCAACTTAAATTCACTTCCACATTCTAAATCTTCATTATTTATTTTATTCTAGCCAATACTGGTGCAAGAGAATATTTCAGGCCCAGATCCTGCAATCAGATCTACTTAGGCAGATCTACGCACTTACACGGAGCCCCACTGACATTAAAGAGACTCCATGTAGGAATTAAGGTCTTCCCACGTGGATCCAATTGCAAGTCAGGGACCTCAGGCACTGAAGCATGTGCATACCTTTAAACACACATGCATTCAGATGTGCTTAAAGTTACACACATGCTTCAGTACCTTCCTGAATGGGGGGCCTCTGTTTGTAACCTGGCAATGGCCTGTGTAGGAGGTAATTTCTGCTGGATGGAACTAGAGGTTATTCGCCCTTTTTCTGCCTTGTCCAGGTGAAAAGTGTAGCATCTTAAGAAAACCGCATATATTTATGATTGTTCTTTCCCTTTAAGCATATTTTCCAACTAAGACAGAGGAAACAGTATAATTTAAAAACAAAACCCAAAAAAGTGCTCTCAGGGGTGGGTTCTGAGAAAACAGCACCAAATATATTATTTTTTAAAAAATTAAAATATTATTTACAAAAGTATATTTCACAAGATAATGCTTATGTTCTGTATATATTATCATCTGAATATTTATTACAGGGTCACGATTCTACACAAGATAATCAGCCTGAGCAAAACATTTAAAACCTACCAAAAAGTTTAGCTTTGGGATACACTGGCTCTGATGTAAACTCAGGGGTGCCCAGAATTTGCATTGCCCAAGGGCCTTGGTGGCAGCTTGCTAGAAACTAAGGAGGGGGGCAGAAAATGGAGCAAAACTTGCAGTTTTCATCTTCGCTGAGGCTGCCACCCATGGAGACTACAAATCCCAGTATGCAGTGCTCCACTGTGATCTGGACATTGAATGCGGGACATGCTCGCTCTCTGTACTGCAGCTCCATCTTGGAAATGAAGGGCATGCCTTGCCTACCTTTGATGTAACTAACTGACTACTATTAACTGACTCGACCAATGAGATGCAAGTGGTGTGATTCTTTGGCTATGTTCTGAATATATTGTTTTGCAACTAATCAACTGAGAATGCCCTGATTGTTATAGCCTATAAATTTCATCACTCTGTTTTGTTTTCAACTCCCAATACTATCATATGTCTTAATACAGCAGGTCACAGATGAGTTAACAGTGGACCTTACATCATAAGAAGCACTTTAGGTTTAGCTGACACATGAGGGAGAACAAATATTAAATAAATCTAGCAGGCCATTTTTACTTATCTCTTTATACAGTGTATAAAAATCAACCTACAGTCAAGTGTGTGCCTGCGTGTGCACATGTGCGTGCATTCGCACATTTTCCATACCAGGATTTGAGGATCTGGGCCCAGGCCTCAACTGATTGAAACCGGTGTAGCACCATGGAAGTCAAGGAAACTAAGCCAATTTACATTAACTGAGGATCTGGCCACAAATATTCAAATTTACAGTGGTCGCCATAAAAAATGCAATTTATGTAAATTGTTACCGCGTATTGCCGTCTGAGATATTATTTCTTGTTCTTAGTACACAAAGAATAAAAATTGTTGCATCTGACACAATTCTGTGCCCTTATTTTTAAGAGGTACAGCATATCCTACACTAATGGTGCAAAAAAATACAATTTACAGGGGTAACTCTGCAGTATTTGAGACTGAATACTGGGGGATTATTATAGGCATGTTGGCTTTTTATTCGCGATCACTGTAGTGCATAAAATTATACTTATTCAGGGAAGATTAGCAGAGTCTAGGTATGGCTCTGTATCCCATCTGCACAAAAGCTGTTGTGGGTTATCCCTTATTTCTCCCATTTCAGATCAGATCCCTTTAGAGACTGTTTTCAGGGAAAGAGAAGAGCTTTCCAAAGAAAGCAAATAGCTCCTTACTGGCCAAAACCAACAAAATGTTGAGTGGAAAGGGCAATGAAGAGAAGGCCAATGCCAGAGTCAACAAGCTAATGGGTACTGAGGGATTCTTTTTGTTGAAGGTAGCGGTGATGGAGGGGAATGAGGATGATGGAAGTAGAGTCTAGCAGAAGTCAAAGATGAAGTGGTCTTGTTATTCACCTCCGATAGGGTGAAGGCAGAAGCCACCTCCTAACACAATGGCCAAAGAAGGCATTCAGTACATCCCTTCCAGAAGTAACACTCAGTCTCCATCTTGTCACCTACTTCTGGGTAATAACCAAATATTACCAGTGATGCCATGGACACCACACTCATCTAGTGAGCAGAAGAGAAAACATCCACTTTTCACATAAGCTATTCAGGTTTTAAGCACTGGTACTGAACATAGAAGTCTAATCAAACTTCTAACTAGCCTCTCTCTCTGCATTCCTCCCTCCCCCCACCTCCCCACTTACCAGCAAATGTGATTTTGAAATCCTCTCAACTCTGCTAACCTGAATATTGGAAAAAAAGGCGGCATTAGGGTCTAATCATCAGAAGGTTCAATTTCATAAGGAGCTATGAATCCCTGCACATTATTTTTCACTCCCTGGATTGAGAGGGATTTCCCCCAGAGAATTAACCTACTTCGAAAGAATTCCACAAACAAGAAGAATTCACTCGATGGATAATACTAATTCAGTTAAATAGTCTTGTGTTCTGCACCAGATACTGACTGGACTGTTGTAGAGGAAGCTTTGCACTGTCATTTATGTGTACACTATCTTCTTTTATACACATTCTCCCTTTCTCCAACACCAACAACAAAGATGGCCCATAAAAATTAATTTACAAAAATTAAAGTAGGACTTGTCCGCTGCAGTTAGATGTTGAAACCTCTTCTCCCCCTACAACTCCGAGGCTACCCCATTTGGGGGATGCTAAGTTTCAGTCTTCCAGAGTATGAAACAGGTTTTTTAAAATACCAGGAGTCGAGGTTGGGAGGGATACATCAGGGCTTGAAATAGCCACCTATGAAACATGATATTAACAGCCACCAGAGACACTAACTGTTCCATCACATCTCTGCTGGATTCAAAGAGTGGAGATGATGGCTGGAGTCTGAAGTTTTAAAGATCCTATTAAAGCCATTTTCCCATTACATATTAGGATGACTGGATCCCAAGCTATAACATTGCCAATGGGAAACAGATTCGCCCTAACGGCACACAGTAAGGATTGGAAAATTAATATGGCATCATATGTTTCTGAGTTTGCCTACAGCCTTCTCCCCCTACATATTTTCCTAGCACATGCCCGTGTTCTTGCATGTCTGTCATATCTCCTAAACTGCAGCATCAGCCCCACTACATTACATGATTTGACTCCTCCTCTCTCAGTTGCCCAGGATCAGAATTTTGTTTCCCCAGCAGTGCTGAGGTCGTAGCCATGCTCTGATGGGACGGTTTGCCCATCCGCTATGAAACAGGAGGAGGGAGAAGCAGAAGGAGAGAGCTTGGGGAATCTCTATAGCCATCAAGCTCGACAACAAGAAGTTCACAAAAGGCGACTGTGTGAATAGTATGAAACAACCTATCAAAAGATGGAATTGCACATCAGTTTCAGGAATTAGCTAGCAAGGGGCTTTTGGTTACAACTTGTGCTCAGCCAGCTTAATCTGAAGCTCGGCTTCTGGAACAGCAGGTTCGAGATTCAGAGAGAACGCAGTCATGAGGTATATTTCTGTCCATCGTTTCAAGCCTTGGTTACCAGGACTTAAAGGAAAAGCAGTTTCGTTCCTGCTTACTTCCCCTCCTACCCCGTCCCCTTCTTCTCTCCTCCTGCCCAAAACTCTGGTCTCCCTCCCACACTGAGACCCTCTGATAAAAGGCCAACGAAGAGCCAACTTCAGTTTGTACTTTGACATTCATAAACATGGAATGCTGTCAGGCATTTGGTGCATTCTCTTAGCCAACGCCAGAACATAGAGAGAAGCAGCCAGGGTCAATTCACAAACAGATAAAAAGCAAAGAGACGGAGAGACAGAAATTTAGAGGCCAGTCACCAATAAAGATGGAGAAGGGTGTGAAGATGTTCCCAAATGGCAGAGCCTCTAAATGCATGGAACCAAGCGTTCGGTCACTCTCTCACTCTTGGATATAATGTTCTGTCGGATGGCATTCTCTTACACGCTGGTTTGGCTGGGCTCTTCCCATTCAATCCCAGCCATTATCCTTGATCATGTGAGCTAGTTCGATGATGTATTTGCCTTCTTTATACTTCTGGCTGCTCTCAAAAGCGTGTTCCTAAAAAAAAAAAAACAAACCACACACAGAGAAGGTGGAGTTAGCAGGAGACTTGAGACGTATGGAAAAGAAAGTGCAGTCTAGTGATTAGAGCAGGGGTCTGTGAGTCAGGAGTCATGCATTCCACTCTCAGCTCTGGGGCACAGAGCACAGGATTATGGGATCCTGTTGACTTTCAGGAAACTTTTTGTTTTCAGGAATCCTAGACTCTAGTCCCACTCACACTACTGGCTCACAGGTGTCTGGACTTCGGTAAATCCCTTAATCTCTCGCTGCCTCCTGTTAGACCAGGGTTCTCAAACTATTTCCATAGTCTATACTACATCTTTATAAAGAGATTACCTTGTGGACACCTCTCGTCCCAAATGCGTAACATCCCTAGAGCAGCTCAAATAATTGCTTATATGAAAAAGTAACATTAGGAATGCATCTAATTCATTTTTAGCTGCCTTTAATGTGAGTTACCAGTGGAAACACAGTGAAGAAATCAGGATCATGTGACCAGCCACCTCTCTGCAGGCCACCAGCAAGTGCTCCACGGATCACAGTTTGGGAACCATTCAGTTCAACTAGAATATAGCTTCACTGCAGTTGGGAGTGTGTCTCCCAGCCCAAATAGACAGACATGTACTAGCTCCACTTCAGCTAGTGTGATAAAAACAGCAGTGTGGACATTGCGACACGAGCAGTGACTATGTATAGTAACATATGGCCTCTGGCACAAAGAGCTTACAGTCTAAATATCCAAGACAGACAAAAGGTGTCAGGAAAAACAGAAGCACAGAGAGGGGATTCAGTAGATCAGCTGAAGAGCCAGGAATAGAACCCAGGTTTCTGACTCCCACTTCAGTGGTCTGCCTCATTATACACACACCTTCAAAAAGGGATAGGGACAAATGCATCCACACGAACAATAAACAATACTCACATATTTCCAGCCCAGTGTGGTTTTGCAGTTTTCACAATAAATGTCTGCAACTGCGTGTAATCCTGTTAGTAACACCCGCTCCTCTGCGGGGCCGCAACCCACATTAACTCTGAGAGGGAAGGGAAGAGAAAGATATGGTTCCTATCAAAGTATTGCTTCCTTTTTGCACACTGCAAGAACCTTTGCAGCAATTTTGTTGCTGTACTGGAAAATATAAACTGGAATCTCTAACAATAAATTCTACAGCTATTCTAAAAATAGAAGTTTCCTTTCACAAGAAATGTTGATACTTCAAAATTATGTTCTGTTCATATCAGAATGAAGAGATGAAATATTGAATATTTTCACTCAATGAAAAATTCCTAAAAACACTGAGCTGGAGAATTTCAATGTTTTCTACTGAAATGAAATAATTCAACATTTCAGAGTGAAATTTTCATTTTGAATTTGAAATGAAATTTTTCATTTTGATTTTCACAAATGGAAAAAAGGACATTTTTGTTGAAATCCACGTATTCCCAAGACAAATGCTGATTTCCTGAAAACCATATTTGTCTAAAGGAGATTCTTTTCAATAAAAATGATTTGCCAGCTCTAAAAAAAGTCACTAGTATTTAGCACTTATATACTTCTTTATATTTACAAAGCTTTGATTGATTGGTCCTCACTACATCCCCTGAGAAGTGATTATTTCTCAATCCCATGACAAAAAAAAACTCTTATTCCAGCCCCTTATCTGAAACCTAAAGGCAAAGTCAAGTGTGAATTAGTGTGGTTTCCTTTCAGTCACTCTAAAGCAATGATGCAAGCTCAAAAGTCAGTGCCTTTCAGTCACAAAAAAAGGCAACTCTTTCTCCTTATTTTAACCTCAGGGTGATATATATTTGTATCCCAAAAGATGGAACAATGACATTTATGAAGTAACACTCACACTGAATTGAAGAGGTATGCTCGCCCTTGGCTTCCTTGAAAGGACTAAAAGGCAAGAAAACAGAAATCAGTCGGTTGATAGGAAGCCATCCTGTGCATGAACAGTACCCAGATAGCAACGTTATTGACTTCAAAGGGAAGTTGGAGCCACTGATAGTGGAGTTCTGAGAAATGCACATTATTACAGTATGCAAGATGGAGAAGGCAGAGAATGAAACATCCGTGGAAGATGAGAGCTGATTAATGAAGGTCTGTCCTGGAAATGGAAATGGAAAGTGAACCAGCCTGTCTCAAATTCTAATGCATGCACATTTTAAAAGGGACACTGGCAGCCTACTTGGAACCTTACCTGCTTAATTATCACTTGAGATTATCAGCCCTCACAGCACTGTGAAAATCCAATGTACTTTTCACAAATTAAACTCTATGTTTGTTTGTTTTCTGCATTCCGGTAAAAACTAAAAGTCAGTTTCACTTCCTGGTTCTCACGCACCAGTTCAATGCCATTGCTCATGGGTTTCCAATCTCAAACAAACCTTACCCCAAATTATTACTTTAAATTCCGTTTCTAAAAACAAAACCTAAAATTTGGACCTAAGCTACCTGACAGCATCGCTTCAATATTTCGAACACGGCTCTGACAGTTTGAAGTGCCTCCATCCATGAAGGAGACGCAGAAATATATGTTACTATTATTTATTTGTATCCCCATCAGGGACCAGGGCCCCACTGTGCTATGTGCTGTACACGTATATATTGAAAAAGACAATCTCTGGTCCAATGAGCTGACAAGCTAAGACCCCAGTCTTGCAAAGCTTTATGCAGATACTTAAATGTATGCACTCTAAGCAGCCCCATAGATGACAATGGGATTACTTACAATGCATAGTTAAGCGCCTTTCTCAAGCCAGGTCTACACTACAAATTTATATCAGTAAAATTACATTGCTCAGGGGTGTGAAAAATCCACAGCCCTAAGCAACTCAGTTATACCAGTCTAACCCCCGAGATTCTCCCGTTGATTTAGCAACCACCTCTTGCAGAGGTGGATTAACTATACTGACGGGAGAAGCTCTCCCGTTGGTGTAGTAGCATCTTCACTAAAGCGTTACAGTAGTGCAGCTGTGCCGCTGCAACTTTTAAAGTGTAAACCTGCCCTGAGTCTTTTCAGGATCAGGGCCTAAACATATGACAAGAGACAGCTGAGTAGAGAGAAACAAACAAGGAAAGGGAAGGATAAGGGAGCAGTTAAACTGTCACATTTGGTAGCATTAGTGGCAATTGTGGCATTCCCAGTGCCTGGCCATATAACATTCACAATGATAAAACAGTATTTTGCAATGAAAGGTTGGAAGCAATAGCCACCTCTGACTGGGACACTTCAATAACACTGCTTCCAAGCACCTACAAGCTCCATTTGTGTCTGGCCTGTAATATTACCTGCAACAATGCCTCGCTGACAGGAGCAGCTAATAGTGGAGCAATAATACAACCTGTGTTTTTAATGTGCTTTGACAAGCGCCCATTGAATTAAACATTTTGAACTTCCCCATAGTTCTCCCTCCTCACAACTGTTAACGTGAGGGAGGTGGTGTGGACTAGGTAATGACAAGGTAACATTACTCTGTTTATAGATGATATGCACACCCAGTGATAAAGGTGTGGCATCCATAACCGTGCCCTGTAGAGGCATTAGTATTTTTTTGTTTGTTTGTCTATGACTGCTCTATTTGCAGGTTAAAGAGAAAAGGCAGGCTCAGGTCAGTGGAGCCAATACAAAGGGAGAGCTACTGGGTCAGAATGGGTAAAGGCTACTTTGCCAGGAGGACAGCTTTCAAGATTTAAATTAATTTTATCCCCTTAGCAATTTGTTTCATTCGGGGGGATGTGAACAGCTGGCAGCAGAGGGGCTGGCTCCAACTGACACAGAAGGGATCACTTGGAAAGTCTCTATGGAGAGACTTCCCTACACAAGGTCCTGTTCGTCCGTGAAGCTGCTCCCAGGAATTCACTCAGCAAGATTCGAGACAGGGCACGGCAAATGCCAAAGTGCCCGTGGTCCCCCAGACAGCAAGGCCACAACCCAGCCGCAGTGCCTTGTTCCACACTGTACTCTTCATGCCATGTAATTTACGCTAACACACTGCATCTCTCTCTCCTTCTAGTGGATAAGCCACATATAAAGGTTTACGACGTTGATGCATCCAAGCTAACAGTCCCAGTCCTTTAGCTTAGGCACTAGCAGCAGATGTTTTCAGATCCAGGGTTGCCAAATTCAATCCCTACACATGACCCCCAACAACGAAGGTCACTATATTCAGTTTAGGGAAGGCTCCATCTTCCCATAGAGAATGTAGCACATGGTATAATGTTTGAAAATACAGAGTGATTGGAAATGTCAGATTAATCCAAGAGGTATTTCTTCTCTGCACAAGCGTAGCTGTAAGTGTTGGTGGCACACAGCTCTTTAATGATCTTATATAGAGAGAACCCCTGCATCACACATCCTATTCATTTCAAATACATGCAGGAGAAATTTACTGAACCATGTATGAGATTAAATTCATTAAAGTCTGGGTTTAACCCCCCCCCGACCAAGAGAACACGTTCCGCCCCCTCTGGCTGCAGCTCAGTGTATTTCTTGGCACTAAGCTACTTTTCAGTCACAGCACCATGGGGCCTGCAGAAAGCTCTATGCCTGCAAGCATGCAGCAAGAGCCTTCCAGTCACGGACTGAAGGAGAGCATGTGGGAAAACCAATGCTGTGGGGCAAGCTGACAAAACACCATATCCAGCTGCCTGAGAGGCTCAGATGGCAGCGATGGCGCTGCCAGCTACGGAGGAGCTGCCTGCCAAGATGATTCAGACAGAAGCCCAAGATTAGCTGCCAATGGTGGGGAAAAGAAGTTTGTGGGCTCGGAGAAGATGCCGGAGGCACCTCTGCGCTCTCTTGGCATAAGCCCTGGATCCTGTGCAGTGAGAAATGCCTCATTTCCCAGGAAGCAAATTAACTAGGACGCATGGCTCAAGCATGTTTGTGAAATTGTATTTATTAGAGCAGCTTCTTTAAATCTCTCCTCAGCACTGAAGTCCTGTATTATGGTTATTCTCATCTGTATGACACTGCACAATCTAATGTATCTGAGCTGACAGCGCTACAGAATACTTGGTGTACTGAACATTGTACTGCCAATGTCGGGTAAATAAAGATGGGATTCTGTAAGCTAATGGCCTTCATGCCAAGGCTGTCTCTCCCCTTTGGAAGGAATAAACTGGGGCTGGCTCTGTGTTGTGCTCTACAATGACACGTGCAAAAGGCATTTATTCTCCAGGCTGCAAGGGCTGCATAGAGGTTCTATGAATTTGGATGGATGGATCCTGGGTGGGTGATCTGGATCAAGCAGGAGGGATCCTCGGGGACAGAGGCCCTTGCCACTAATCAAAGCAGGATGAGAGCAGCTAAAACTCACTAACCTTCCACTCCCTCCCAGTAAATAGTTTTCCATAAACACCAAAGTGACTGAGTTTGCCAATAACAACAGCTATGGGAGCAGAGTTTTACTGGAACAGAAATAGCAGTTTCCATTATTGCTGGCTATCAGTCAGTCTTTAATAAAGAACAAAACCAAGCCCTTAAGCTTTGCGTCAGAGGCTCCCTGAACATTACTCCAGCCAATTGCTAGAGGATTGTGGTGTCCTCCTGGTGGGCCCCCTCCTTCCACTTTAGGTCAGGACATGATCTCAAGGATCCTGAAGATCTATGGGCCTTTTGTTCTGGAGAACTACTATTTTCTCTCAATGGCATCTCTACCTTATAGTGCCCGAAATGAAGCACTCATCCCCTGGTTTGAAGTATAGCCAATAATGCTCCACATAGTCACTATGCATAGTGCACCTACGCAAAGGGTATCCACCAGCTTGAAGAGGTCACCAAAGGATGATCAACTTCACCAACTATCAGCTGTGGTTTTCTTACTTCACTTCGAGCCAAAAGCTTGCAACTCTCACCTGAGTGTGCTGCCTTTATTGCCCACCCAAATACACTCATATTAGTCAGCAGCTGTTGCCTAAGGATATTGCTGTCACTGAAGCACACTCTCTTTACCATCAGTCTGTGGCCACTGCACAATACTGTCACCTTCAGGGATGCCAGGCTGGAACTTTCCCACATCCCAGCGCTCAGCATTTGGTGCTGCTGATGCTGTCTTTCAAGAAACATCCCCCCACCTCAGGAGGACTTTGCAAATGCAGATAGAGGGGAAGTAATAGAAAGGGAACAGGTGTGTCATATTTTGGGCTTGTATCCTCAACACATTCCCTTTACAATACAATAAAACCCAGTGGAGGAGCCAGAACCTCCTCTTTCTGTTCCATCTCTAGAAGGACTGATGTGCTGCAGTGATCATGATGAAATCACAGGAACTATCATATCCTAACCTAAGCAGACGTTCCCTGCACAGTCCCCCCCAAACTGTTCTGCAAACACATTTGCTTTGCATCAAGTAGTGACAGACAGTAATGTGGATAGTTTCCACGTCATGCATTTTTTCAAAGCAGATTTTGTGATGTGAATTAAAATTAAAAACATTTATATTATATATCTATCTATATAGATAGATAGATATAGATATAGATATAGATACACACACACACACACACACACACAAAATCCAGACTTCTTCCCCTCTAAAATACAGTTCCCGGGACATACTTTCCAATCCAAATCAAAGAAATGGAAAGGATTTTTTGTTTCCCATTGAAAGGCCAAGCCATTTTTTTCTCTCCTTTGCTAATTTCGGAAGTTTGGCTAGAAACACAGCTTGCCACGCTTGCAACAGAATTTTCCCTCCCTTCCTTCCTTCTTCCCCCACCCCACATCAATGTCTAGACTTTTTGGTTAGGAGGGAAAGATGAGAAAATATACATAATCTTCATCTTGACTATCAGTATTCAAATCCCCTTCTGCATCTGGGAGTTCCATTCAGCATGTAGACATCTAAAATGGGTATCCAGGTAATGCCCTAAACAGGTGATTTGAATATCCA